ATTTGATAAAATAAGATATTTATTGTATTCTGAGCAGATTTTTTATTTGAATAATCTTTCAATAATCCTTTGGATCTTAATGAATAGAATTGAATATTTATAATATTACTATAATAAAGAGAATTTATTTAAATTCAAAAATAAACTTACAAAGACAAAATTTGATTAAATAAGATACGTAACTATTGTAGTACGTAACTAAGCAGATCATTTAATTTAACAATCCATTGTATCTATATTTTAAATTAGTAATTGTATACTAAATGAATGAAATAAAAAAGTTAAGAATTTTACTATAACAAATAAATGTATGATATTTAGACTAGTTTTACCAATGCAATAAACTTAGCAATTATTACGTATAATGTTCATAATTTTAATAAAATCTAATATTAGAAAGTCTCATTGTCTTAATTGTACTTTGAAGATAAGGTGAAAACATATTTTATTATAATATAATTAATAATGTATTTTTTCTTATATTAAATTACAATTTATTATTGTTAAAATACGTTAAAATGCCCGGCGCATTCACCACTTCTCATTATTCTTTGCGTTTTCCAACAGATTTTTTTCCAGCATGATTTACAGCTAAGATTGTTTTCTATTTAACAAGCAATAAAACGCAGGACGGTGCCCAATAAATAATAAGTGTTTGCGTCCGCAAATGAAGAGATTCACGTATATAAATATGAAGAGAAAGACGGAGATGAAAATATAGTCATTCTGCAGAGTGTAAAGACGAGCGGTCCTGCGTCGTCCTGTTATGATAAATGTGTTTCAGAGCGGCAATAAATATCGCCTCGCCAGGATGTACTCATCATCCCCAATATTCTCCACCGAATCCCCTTCATACTTACGCCGGATTTCTGACTCGTTGCAAAATCCTGACAACCCTTATATATATATATATATAAATTTTCACCCTTACGTCTTCCTCGGAAAACATATAGAAAGAAGAAAAAAGTAGTAGACACAGAAGGAAAAGTGTGCGTCCAAAATCATCTATAAATCCACTTAAATGTCATCCTAATCAAGCGAATAAGGCGGAATTGATAAGAAACACTTTTTTTTCATTTTTTTCCCTCTTCCTTATTCTACGGTCACGTTCCTTCTTTTGGTGGAGGAAGAAAAAGGATGGAAAGTTGTTCTGAAACTTGGCTACGAATGCGAAACTTTTAAATATTTACACAATCCTGTAGCAAATTGCATTCGGATTTACGTTAAAACTTGTCCGAAATCTAATTCTCTGTCTCTCCTGAACCCTCGATGCTCGGTCGCCTCCGCCCAATTACGGCCAATAAAGAAATTCTGTTTGCACATCTCGAAGACGAGATTTCGTTGCGCCCTTTCTAATTCCGTAATTGGCGTCGGCTCAATTGGATTAAATTTAATAGGTTTCGGTTTAGTCGAAATGGTAATACGCATTAATCGTCCTCGTATGATATTCTATTTTTTTTTTGCTCTTAGTATAAGATTCAAATCGTCCTTTCAGAAACGCACACAGTTATTATTCTTTGGATAAGATGATTCGGTATTGATCTGGAAGTTCCGGCGTTGAAGAGGTTTTCGATTCGAGTACAATCAATTAAGTTCTATAGGGGAGAAAGGCTTGTGATTAGGGCACAGTGTATTAGGGAATTGATGACTTCGAGATGTCGACGCGTGGCTTCGATGAGAGTCTCTCTCATCCTTTCCGCCGTACAAACAAAACCTTTATTGGATCCGGTAATTGCATCCGGTCTGTGGAACCCAATCACAACATCATAATTCCGCAAAACGAGAACATCTAAAGGTTTACACTAATAATCCTCTTCGAACCGTCACAGCTTCATGATAATACATCAATTTTTGTCTCTTAAAGCAATTCCATTTATAATAATTGCAAATAAGACTTTGTTCATTATATATTAAACAAATATTTGGAGAAAAATTACTTTATTTAATATGTATATGAACTAAATAGAAATTACATTTTTAATCTCAGCTGTAAATCATGCACAAAAATCGAAATTAATGAGACGTAGTGGATGCTACAATGTGAAGACGTTTTATACAATTATTTAATTACTGAATTGTTTTTTTATATATCAACATCTTTCTGTTTTTAGAAGAAGTCAATGAAATATTGATCATTAAATATTATAAAAGATTTAGTACGAAATTACATATTTTTATATGCACATCAACTATAAGAGATTTTTTTTTTAATTTAAGTACAAATATGTAAAAACAATCTTCTGGTGTCTTTTTTTTCTATTTCATTACAATAATTTTAACAACTTAACTAAATTTTTAAAATAATGAAACAAAAAATGTTGTAAAACTACTTTATTTGTTATAATAATTCTTTTTCTGTATTATGTTTTTATATTTTTACTATTTTTACTATATAACAAAATAAACAAATTGTAAGTTTACTTATATATCAAGTTGTTGGGAAATATATCGGAATTTTTAAAAACAATTGACTTGTTTATATGTATTTTAGACTTTGATACTTTTCTAAAGCAATAACTATGAAATATACTGTTTACATTTTAGTTAAAAGAAGTATATAAAAGTTTTGATTTTGAATTTTATGAATATATAAAGTAAATAAACATATGTTAAATAAAAATAAGAAAAAACAATGGAATTTAAAAATTCAATATATATTTGTATATAATCTTTAAAATACTCGTACTTAATTTGGATTATGATAAGATTCTTGGTATTCACTGTCTAAGGATTATTAAAATAAATCATTTTATCTAAGCACAAACAACTTTTCATTACTTTATTTTGTACAAGTATAAATTACAATAATAAACCAAAAAATTATATTGAAAACATTTCAACATTGTTGAATTTTGATAATTTGTGGATGTTGAAATTGTACATTCTTAGAATATTTATATTTTATTTCTAACTTTTATTTATAAGTATTCTCTAAACTAATTTCAAATAATAATACACATATTAGTAGACTCTTTTAAGACTAATATTAAAACTAAGACTCAGATAATTTTGTGGCGAACATTGAAGATTGAAGGATTTTTGATGAACCAAATTATATAGTATTAATATAAAGTTTTTTTTTTAATAATTATAATAATATTGATTGCAACAGTCATGTGATTACATATATAATTATAAACAAAGAAAAGTATGAAGCACACTAAATCATAAATCGTTATAAAGAATACATTGTTAATTGATTTTCATTGAAATAAGTTCAATATTAAAATATTAATAAATTAAAATGATTTAAGGTCAGGATATGGGCAAACATACTAAGAAATTGTGTTAGAAATAAAACATAAATAGTAACAAGTTTTAATAATTAATTAAACTAATACCAATCAATTGTTCTTAATCTGCATTAATTTACAAGAGGGACGTAGATTACACTGATTGGAGATTTCCATTATTGAGCGTGTAAATTAATTACTGTATTATTTTCTCATAGATGGAAATCTCTATTTCTCTTACACCTTTCTCTGTGAATGCTCGCAGATGGATGAGATTAGTTCAATTCAACCCGTCGTCGCTTGCCATTAGCAAACAGTTACATTAATGTTGCAAGATTGCGACGTGATTGCGAATTATCCCATTCGCAAAGAATGATATATTTGACGGGTCAATTAATCCCCGCATTAGTTTCTGGCTTCAAAGGTATTGCTAAGAGCTTTCCACCAATACAATAATTTATCGAAAAAAAAATTTTTATTTCTTATATACGATTAAATATAATTTAATTTTAATTTGTAATTTAATAGACAAATAGAAGAAACATTCAATCCTTTGATCCACATGAATCAAAATAATCTTTAATTTTTATATTATTAGAGAAAATATGTATATGCTAACAAATATACTGCTTATTTATGTATTTAGAAGATAATCAGTTTGCATTTTGAAATTGCAAATTAGTTTACAAACAATTCGGAAATATATCCATTTATAATCAAGTGTTCTATGTAGATACGTGAGTTCTAGACAATATTCAGATTAACGCTTACTAGATTATAGCAGAAAAAAAAACAAATTTGAATCATTTTATTAAAACTATTGCCCAATTAATAGAAACGCACTAATTAATTACAAGTTTTTAGTGCTTACGCATTTAGATCGAATTAAATGATATTTGTAAGCTTTTTTAGTTTTTTTTTTTCTGGTAATACAATTAAAATTGTTATGAACAATAGAAACTATTAAAAATGATGAATTGTATCGTGTTTACTGGCAATTACATCAAAATTGTTCTATAAAATTGAAAAAAATGAAACTGGTGAAAATTCGGAAATATTTATTAGTAATTCTCATTTTTATTATTATAATTCAAAGAAATTCCACAAAATAGATTGAAATAGGTGAAAATTTGGAAATATTTGAAATCATCTAATTTTTATTGGTAATTCTAAGAAATTCTATAAAATCGATAGAAACTGGTGAAAATACAATTGATAATTTATCAATTTTTCGAAATTGTTTATAACATAGGAAAATTAAACCTTGTGTTCTAGGAAATATAACACGTTGAAATACTTATATAAATGTAAATAATGATATATAATACAAGACTTTTTGAGGGATTAACTTTTATTTCTTAATAATCATTTTTTTATTATTTATTTACATTTTTTTTAACTAATTTTGAAACATTTTATTAAAACTATTGCCCAATTAATACAAACGCACTAATTAATTGCAAGTTTTTAGTACTTACGCATTTAGATTTAATTAGATGATATTTGTTAGCTTCTATTTTGAAATACAATTGATAATTTATCAATTTTTCGAAATTTATCATAGTAACACATTGAAATACTTATATAAATGATAATATTTAATACAAGACTTTTTGAAGGAGAAACTTTATTTCTTAATAATCAAATTTTTATTTTTATTTACACATTAGTTTGGACCTAATTTGGATTATAAATTACAAATTTACTATCAAAAGTTTAAAATTGTTATTTATTTATAATATGTGTTTTTTTTATGTTTGTTTGCAGGAAAGATGCGTTCTGCGGTGTTGGTCATTGTGGGAGCGATAGTCTGCATTTCTATGTTGCCATTTTCCATGCAGGCTGCTATAGACGTTGGTTCTGATCCGGACATCGGGATTCCTAAGGAATCTGACGAAATGCAGGTCAGTGCACTGAAACAAATTAAACATAAATTGAAAAGTAAAGAAAGTAAATTTACTTATAATTCAGTGATAAAACAAAACATTTACTTTTTTAAATTACAAAAATTGAGTGACAAAAATTTATTGTTTTTATTTATTAAGTATATAAAATTGTATCAATTGATTAAAAAATCTTACAAATAATTATTAATTACAGAAATGAGTAGATCTTACATAAAATTTAAAAAATACTTTTTTTTAATTTTCCATTATTTCTATACAAAACAATAAAATATGAATAAAAATTTAACAATTCGGTCAATATTAATATAGTTATTATTACTTAAACAAAAATTGTATTAAATAATAATTATTAATATTGAACTACAGAAATGTTAGTAAAAAAAATATCTTAAAATTTATATTATTAAAATTTAATTATAGAAATTACTAAGAAAGTCTGTTGTAAAATCACGTCAACAAACGCATAAGAATCGTATTTATATTCTATACTTATACATTGCATGTATAATATTTGTTGTGAATTGTCAAAGAGAACCCAAGGAATGGCTTAGGCAAAGTCCCAGAAATAATTTGCAAACTTGGAGAATTTCAACGGAATTCCTGCGGAATTATTTAACGCGCCCTTTTGAACATTAAATTGCACAGAATGCAACCGTTCGCAACGTTACACATCTTTCTCTCACTCTTTCATTCTCAGCCTTAAATTCATTTTAAGTTCAAGGCGAAATGTTCAAGAAAAAAAGAGTAGTTTCAATTTTTACTTATATATTTAAAAAAAAAACTATTATCATTACAATTTTTATTTTATTCAATATTTTAGTAAAAAATATGTGCACTTAATTAGTATAAGTTTTCTCACTTAATTTCTTGCAGATTTCATACATTTTTATAATAATATTGTTTGTTGTAGTATTGATACATTCAAATTTTATCTCTAATGAACATTGCTTAACTATTAAACCTCAGTTACTCACGTGGCGTCTGAGAAACTCCGTTAAATATAACGTCAGTAATCAATTTATTTATATACTCTGCTAAGAATTTTGTTAATCCTTCAACGCATTACTCTAAAATGCTAAAATGTGCATTTACAAATCGGAAGTCACTATGAGAAAGTACATAGATCGGGGGGTTGGTTTGTACCCACTGGTGTCCCACAGACGCCGCGTGTGTAACGATGGGTTAAATATGTGAAAATTATTGTATACATTTTCATAATTCTATACATATAATATGTATAATAATCAGTGCATTAATAAATGTAATTCGTTCATTAATTTCGGTTATTTCAGATATTAATTTTCAATCAATGTGTCAATGAGAATTAATGTATTTATTTTTTGTTATTGATTTTCGAACAATCGCATTAGACTAAATGGGAAATCAATTTGCGCGGTAAAACATTTTGTCGGTGCATTAAAATGTTAACGATAATCGTCCGTTGCGAAGGTTAACTAATATAATGATGCAAACTGTCGCAAATTAATCCGCGCGAAATTGCAATTACATCGCCGAATCCATTTCGATTTCATTTTAAAAGGATTCGCACGCACTTTTCCATCGCAATTGGATTTGCCAAATCGAGAAATAATGAATTTAAATGGTTTTGCTCCAGTTACATTTATTACAATATGTTTATCATTAAAATGAAATTAATTGCTTCCACATAATGGAAACAATTATTTTGTGTTTTTTTTTTTTTGTAAACACCGCAATTTGTTTATGTTGATTCAATTTGTATACAATTTAATTAAACTTAATTCTATTTTATTTGCTTTAAATAAGTTGAATTTATACGCATTTAAGCTTTTTTCCTGAACGTATAGGATAAGCCGATAATTTAGAAGTTTAAAAATATTGTTACCCGGCTCCTCTACCATTTTCGCAAAGCTTGCGATTTACAATAATTTCGTTTAATGTTATAGAATTTTCTTTTCTTCTATATTAATGTCATGAAAAAAAAAAGAAACCGAACTATATAGAATCCGCACTAATTGAAGCTGTACTATACGAGGTATCCTGTAAATTGCTTAACTATTAAATAAGCTTGCGATTTGCAATAATTCCTTTTAATGTTATAGAATTTTCTTTTCTTCTATATTACTGTAATGAAAAAAATTAAACCGAACTATATATAATCCGCACTAATAGAAGCCGTACTATGCGTGGTATTTCTGTGAATTGCTTAACTATTAAATAAGCCTGCGATTTGCAATCATTTCTTTTAATGTTACAGGATTTTCTTTTCTTATATATTAATGTCATGAAACAAATTAAACCGGACTATATAGAATCCGCACTAATTAAAGCCGTACTATGCGAGGTATTTCTGTAAATTGCTTAACTATTAAATAAGCCTGCGATTTGCAATAATTCCCTTTAATGTTGTAGGATTTTCTTTTCTTCTATATTAATATCATGAAAAAAATAATAAACCGGAATATATAGAATCCGCACTAATCAAAGCCGTACTCTCAGAGGTATTTCTGTAAATTGCTAAACTATTAAATAAGCTTGCGATTTGCAATAATTCTTTTAATGTTATAGGATTTTCTTTTCTTCTATATTAATGTCATGACAAAAAAGAAACGGAACTTTATAGAATCCGCACTAATTGAAGCTGTACTATGCGAGGTATTTCTGTAAATTGCATAATTATTAAATAAGTTTGCGATTTGCAATAATTCCTTTCATGTTATAGGATTTTCTTTTCTTCTATATTAATCTCATGAAAAATATAAACCGGACTATATAGAATCCGTACTAATCGAAGCCGTACTATGAGTGGTATTTCTGTCAATTGCTTAACTATTAAATAAGCTTGCGATTTGCATTAATTCCTTTTAATGTTATAGAATTTTCTTTACTTCTATATTAATTTAATGAAATGATAAAAAAAAATTCTCATAAGATAAAAATAAAATAAAAATTAATAAAATTTTTACATATATATTCAACAATTTTCCTTTTTTTTATAATGAATAATATTTTTACACCTATCCCCGGATTTACACGGTAAGTACATAAGAAAAACGTGTAAATCGAAATTGTATACGGTTTTAAATGTAAAACTTTCCACATTTATTTTTAATTAATTTATTATTAAAGGGAAAACGTGTATAGAAAGTACCGTAAATCGAAGCATAGATGTACCAAAATATAATTGAAAACTCAACGTATTTTACTAAATAAATATAAAAGTTTCATGTTTTCCATTGCTCCAATAATTAATTATTTGACTTCATATAAAGTATTATACAAAATCACATATATTTTTTTATAATATTTATTTATATTCTTTGAATTCTGTCTTTTTCATAATAATAATGTGCAAAATGTGATGTGAATATATTAATACATTTTTTTGTTTGTAATTAAGAAGATGACTTTGTTAATGATATAGAGAGAGACATTAAATGAGAAAAAAGTATTAGGTGAGACGAGGACGATAACAAAGAGATGTTTCGCAGTTTGCGGAGCGTTCGCGGAATTCTTTAGAAAAATTCCGTACGTTTTTTTTATACCTCTTCCTTTTGTCTGTGGGAAAACCTCTCCCCTGTTTTTTGCTCCTGCGAAAATTCTGTAATATTACTCAAAGAGATACGCCTTCTCCTCATAGATTCTTATCCGCCGCTTACATTTACATAATCAAAATGAATCGATATACCTTTAACAAAAAAAAACAATTTGGTTTACGAAGATGGACCAAATTTTGAGGATCAATCAAATTTGTAATTGTAATGACTATGGGATTACTATTTGAAATCGATATGAGTTTAAAATATATCAAAGAAGTTAATGTATTTTTTGTCTTCTTATAATTTAAATATTATTTCAGTATAGAAATACCTCACATTGTGCGGGTAATCAGTTATCAAAAGTAAACCGCAAAAGAAGAGTATTGACTGAATAAAGTGTAAAAAACGGTTTTGTATATTTAAAAAAAATAATTTTCTACACAATTTGTTTTGACATCTTCAAACCGGACTATATAGAATCCGTACTATGCGAGGTATTTCTGTATACAGCTTAAATATTAAGTAAGGCAATATAACAGTACTTTTACTTATTAATTCTTTACAAATAATTATGATAAAAATTATTAATAGTAATCTGCTTACAATAATATTCAAAGTTTTATAGGATACAAAATATGTGTATGTTTCTTTCGTTTAAAAAAAAATAGGTTTCTGTATATTTCCTACAAGAAAATCCTTAAAATTGTCACACTTTTAATAATTCACAGTTTTCTAATTAACAAAGTTATTATTATAACTATTAAAGCCAATCAAATATATCAAAACATGGTATAAAAAATAATAATTATTTATCCTAATAACACTAATGATTAGTGATAAATTTCTTATGATAATACCAAATAAACAATTTTTGCTTTATATTTATTTATATTTTCTTTTCAAAGGTTTTTATCAAATGAATCTCATTTTTGGTAAAATCCGTTTTTTCCCCCTTTTTCAGCTTCAATATTTATTATTATCTTTTTCTTTCACGTCAAGATTTTACATTCGGATTTTATGGCTCGTAAAATTCTACGGGAAATTTCTCACGGTTTCTAAACAGAAAGTTCCGGATGAGAAGCGCGACATCAAACATTACGTTCGTTGTGGTCCAGATTAAAGTTGTGTGCATAAAATGTACAGACAGCATAAGTTCATACTTTTTTTTTATATCAGCTACAAATATACTTTATATATGAATTTATACTTTATGTATGTAACACTTTACATTGAAATTATCATTCCAATGCTAAGTTAAGGAACTTTAAGAATATTATTTAATAATTATATTTCAAATATAATTACATCCATATTACATAAACCGCACGATGCTTGATATTAAGATTGCGAATATCGAAAACCTGGGAAAGTTATGTAACTAGTTTTCATTATAATATATAGTTGGATAGATGATTTTATTCTAAATATAAATGAATTCATATAAAACTGAAAAAAATTGCTAGATATTAAGTTTGAAAATGCGATTTTGTAAGCAATTTTTGAAAAATTTGTATATAATAAAGAAACGTGAAACAGAACTAAATAATTGTTGGTACTTTAATATAATCTTTATATTGTATTCAAAAAGTATTTTTTTTTTCGTAATTGGAATAACGAAAAGAAAATTGTATAGTAGAATACGATGAAATAAGTTTATAAAATAATATTGTTACTAAATATGAAAATTGATGCGTTTTTTTGTAATCTAAATCACTATAATTCACTTATACGCTTAAAATTACCAAAAAGTACCACATATTTTTTTTCATTGAATAAAAATATTGCTGAAATTTAATAAAAATTTAAATATAAGCAACTTAATTTTAATCTGTTTTAATAGAAATCCAAAGAAAAAGTTTAATTTCTTTATTTTAATTGTGGTCAGGTAATAAAGGGTTAACGTAAATAAATTGCATTAATTGATTAATTTGATTTACCAGATTTTGAAGGAAATGTAGGTGAAAAAAAGTTAATTAATATTTAACTTCAGACTAATGTGTATTATTGGATATTGAAATTTTCGGACGGTTTTAATTGGGAATCGTATTCGTGAAGTGGGTACTGTAATTGATCCATTTTGCAAAATATCCATTTACCAATTGAACTTTTGCACTTTGACCCTCGAAATTCTGAAAAATAAACTAGTACATACATATAGATAGATAAATGAATGTGGAATGGGAAGGACAAACGGGAAATGGAGCATTGGATGTGTAAATGCTCTTAATGCAAACCGAATTACGAGCGAATATGTTGATGGTTATTTGCAGCCGTGCGGATCGCAGGTTTAATTGGCCGTGTTCGTTGTGCAATTTGCATGCAAATGTCGTTGCAATTTCATTTGTGTTTCTTTGCTGTTGTCCGTGCAGATGGAGAAGAGGGACTGGAACAGGAACTTGCACAGCTGGGGAAAGCGCGCCTGGCAGAACCTGCAGGGCGGATGGGGAAAGAGAGACCTTTGGGGACCCAGCAGCAGCTTCCCGCTCTACGTTACCGAGAAACGAGCATGGCAAAATTTACAGGTGAGATTTACACTGTTTACGAGACAATTTACAATTTTTTTCTCTCTCCATCTTTATATGTCCCTTCATACTCTCATCCCGACCATTCAATCTTGTTTATTATGATCTTGGTGGAACTGCGACTGCGGAAAAATCGATCTATTTGCGGTGTAATTCGTTAAAAGATAAACAGTTTCGGTGGGCAAACAGAAATAAATTGTTTGCAAACAGTTCCGAGTGAAGAGCCGATATATGGAAATCACGATTAAAGCCACGACTCCTTTCAATTTGTTTATTCTGTTTTTTTTTTGTTAGAAGAGAAGCCGAATCATTTAAAATTCGATTCCCGGAAAATGTCTTTTGGGCTTGTTTGTATGTTGCGTGCGTTTTCACAAACAAAATATTTGCATAATTTTCTATATTTCTGCGGATTGAAACTCGTTTTTTTTTCTTCTCTCGGTTGATTTCAGGGAGGATGGGGCAAGCGCTTCGCTCCTGAAGATGAGTATGCTATGAAACAATTGGCTACTTTGTTGGAGCAGGAAGATCAAGGAATCCAAGGCGATGCTCCTTACGCCGATTACGCTCAGATCACCGAGATGGATGCCAACGATGACGAGAAGAGGGCTTGGAAGAACCTCAACAACGCCGGTTGGGGTAAAAGATCCGAATGGGGAAACTTCAGAGGTACGAAAACTAATTTCTATCACTCAGTATTTCCGCTTCAAGAACCGCGTTAAGATATTATATTTCGTGACTAAATCTTCTGACACGAATAATCGGTTATTTGATGTTACACAGTTTAAGAAACTTTAGCAATTTACTAACATGGTCAGATTAGTTAAACTTCCTTAGGAGATCAAAATTTAACACTATTCTTGTTAATTTTACTTTTATAGATTTTATATTTCATGCAAATACTACATGAATATAACTTGATAAGACTTTAAAAATATTGCAATCAATGTATTAACTAAATGTATATAACATCAAATGCAAAACAGCCGATGAAATACTTTACAAATTATTACAAATAGAAATATTATCCAACCCCAAATACATAGTACATTCATTTAACATTTTTTTAATACATATTTCATCAAAGTTATTAAAAATATTAGATTATTTGAATATTTTATTCAGACATATTTATATAAATAACATAATTAGATATTTTTTAATATTTCTACAATTGCATTACAAAAGCAATATCTCCTATAGTACGGATTCAATCAGTGCGGATTTAGTTTAAAAGAATAGTACGCAAAATTATATTCTCTATTCACAAATGAGCGTTTTTTCATCTATTAACTGTATAGACTCTATTTGTGCTGTTTATTTTATGCAGTTTCCGGTTTGCAATAGTTCGGCATATTACCCGCACTGTGCGAGGTATTATTGTATATTATTAAGAAAAAAATAAAGATTATGTTTGTTTTCAATAGATTCAATTATTTAATTCATTTGTTTAGTTTTCAGTAAATTTTCTTATAACGTGGTAACGCGTCTTCAAATGAGGATTTTCTTATAACGTATGGTAACGCGCCTTCAAATGAGTCCTAACTGTATATTATATATTATTTTATAGTTTAGTAAATAATATGTGAAATATAAAATCTGATAATTATTAAATTGATGTGCATTAGTTAAGATTTCTGACAATACATTTGACAAGAAGAAATTAGTTAGTTGCAATATTAATAGATGGAACTCCAGACTACTAAGAGTAATGTATTATATGTACTTAGGATCCTGGGGCAAACGCGACCCGGCCTGGACTAACCTCAAGGGAATCTGGGGAAAGAGGAGTCCCTCAGAACGACGATCTCAGTAGATGAAAATTTATGCCAAACCAGATTACAAGAAATAGGTAAGATTGCAAACGATAAACAGTCGACAAAACAAATTCAACCAATGAATTAACGTCTGTTTAACTTTAGTTTTTTGTTAGTAACTATTTAAGTTTACTTGTTATATAATTCATTTCAAACTTTATATTAGACAACAATGCACATTACAAAGATTTATTGCTACATAATCAACAAAAGAAATATCCAAAATTAATACGCATACAATTTATATGAATAGAACGGAAATAATTCTATCGAAATTGGAGATTAGATAAAGATTTACATGTGATTTAATCTAACTAATTCCAAAGTGATTAATAATAATTAAATGTTAATTAAGTTGTTTAACTGAAGATCATCTAAGAGTAATTGACAGTTATAGATTGATTTCGATGTGACATTGATTGATCTTTCAATTTAAATACTAATTTACGGAGATTCGCCTACTAACATGTTAATTTCATATGGAATTATGCAACAATAATTTGAGTATAGAAAAGTGAAATACAATAAAAAATCTTCATACATTTTATAAATTTTCTATGTAAGATTTTATTTTTTTTGATAATATTTCAATAATATGTGACCAAATTAGTAATTACGTGTAGCAAATTTATGAGATTTATTTCCAAAATCAACATAATTTTTAATGAAAATAAAACTACAAGTAAAAAAATCATTCAGGAATAAAATTTATATTAATTCACTTCAATTTTGTGTTCATAAAATAAGTAATAATTTTCAAAAAAAAATCAGTTTTCTATGAATGAATGTATTTCTTATATATTGTTTGTAAAGACTTTTCTAATTTTTATAAGCTTATAATTACGAAAATAATTAGAATCACTTATTAAGGTGGGTGCACACTACGCACTAATATCCAAGTAATTTGAAAAGTATTACGTAGTGTGTACGAATGTGTATAAAAATGACGCTATAAAACTTTAGTTCGATTTTCACCTAGTCATCACCTATTGATTTTCGTATGTTGATTTCGTTTGAAGTGAGTGTATTTGTTGATTTGAGCGTATATCCAGGAAATGGAATTGAATTGATATAAGATAAAAAGATGATCGTGGTGGAAAGGATGGTACCGGAAATGGTACAAATAAAAAAAACGAGAGGAATGCGAATGGGAATTGCGTCGCTGTGCAAACGAGACGTCATCTAAAAACCCATCTATTACGATTGGCAAATATTGAAGCTGTCCGTCCGGATAAAAATAATAATATACGGCCGCTTCGGAATTAAATTAAACCCGTCCGAATCTGAATTCGTCGCGTTCTATTTTCACGTGCAGAAATGCATGCATGCATTTAAGTACGTTTCGATGTTAAGCGTTTTTCATGTGGGTGAAATTTCCAATTTAGTGGACGACCGGTGTCGCTGCTGCTTCAAAAGCCATACTTTAATAAAGTTAACCATTGTTAACTTGATGTTATTAAAATGCGGACCGGAGCGGCGATAGTTGTTTGCGTTAGATGGATCCCATTGATGCACATGGCCCAGGATTAACATTAATGAAACATCCTGATTAAGCCGAGCGTTGAATGAACGTCGCCTAAAAACAAAAGGTGGCGCGCGGAGTTCCGTTCCATAAGCCATGTTGATCGCACTGGATATGGCTTTTGAATAAACGCATCCAAACTGTTTTTTATTTTTGTATTATTGTACAATTCATTCTCTCTTCAATCGGCGCAAGTCCATTACATTCATCTATCTACGCTTTTCTGTTTCGCTTTTCAATGATTGAATTAACACACTAATTTGAATTGGACACTTTGCGAATTGGATTTTCCGAAAATTAACCGAAGAATTAATAAATTCCAATTCATTCTGTCAACTACAGAATTTTAACAATATTGTAATACAATTTAACATATTAAAGCTAAATAATGTGTAAACTAAAGCATTTAAATTGTTAATAAACTTCAACAATTTGTTCAGTTAAATTTATATTAAATTAGTTTTTTTTATTTATTTTTAAAATGGAAGGATAATTAATTGATCAAATTGTACAGATTTTATAATAATTTGTTCATTCAAATAAATTAAGAAAAGTTTGTTTAATTGATGACAGCAATGATAATAAAACATTGTACTGTTTTTATATCAATTTGTTTATATAAATTAAATTGGAAAGGTGTCTCCAACTTGCGACATGAACATTTTTATGACATTTGACAGCAGTTGCAAGAAATATGACATTTGGCGACAAGATGATGTAACGATTATATAATAATTTATTTATTCAAATAAAATAAGAAAAGATTTTCTAAAATTTTTTTTTGATATTTGACAGGAGAATCAATCAATATGACAGTTAGTGACAATTGATGACAGTAATGATAATAAAACATTGTACTGTTTTTATATCAATTTGTTTATATAAATTAAATTGGAAAGGTGTCTCCAACATGCGACATGAACATTTTATGACAGCAGTTGCAAGAAATATGACATTTGATGACAAGATGATGTAACGATTATATAATAATTTATTTATTCAAATAAAATAAGAAAAGGTTTTCTAAAATTTTTTTTTGATATTTGACAGGAGAATCAATCAATATGACAGTTAGTGACAATTGATGACAGCAATGATAATAAAACATTGTACTGTTGTTTATATAAATTAAATTGGAAAGGTGTCTCCAACATGCGACATGAACATTTTTATGACATTTGACAGCAGTTGCAAGAAATATGACATTTGGTGACAAGATGATGTACTGATTATATAATAATTTATTTATTCAAATAAAATAAGAAAAGTTTGTCTAAAAGTTTTTTTGACATTTGACAGGATAATCAATCAATCTGACAGTTGGTGACATCAATTGTCACTGCAATGATAATAAAATTATACTGATTTTATATCAATTTGTTTATATAAAAAAAATAGAAAGATGCCTCCAAGATGCAACATACAAAGTTTTATGACATTTTAAATCAATTGGTAACAAGTAATGACAACAAATATAATAAAATTGTACTGCTTTCAGATGCGACTTGCGAATATTTTTGACAGAAGTTGCAATAAATGTGACAGTTGGTGACAATTGGTACCAGCAGTGATAATAAAAATGATATTGAATTTATGGGTCTATATCACAAACCCGACAACCGAAAGACCGTCTATTGAAATCCCGACGTTCGAAATCCCGGCTGTATTAAAATCCCGACAATCAAAATCCCGAGTATATCGAAATTCCGACAACCATAAAAATGTTATTGTAGAAATTTATAATAAAAGACACTGTAGGGATTTCGATATAGTCGGGATTTTGATTGTCGGGATTTTGGTAGACAGGATTTTGACATAGTTGGGATTTCAAGCGTCGGGATTTTAATACAGCCGGGATTTCGATACACTCGGGATTTCGGTTGTCGGGCTTGCGATTGCCACCGGCATTTATGTATTTTAATATAAAACTGGAATATCATAAAGAAAATTGACTTAAAAATATTATAAAACTTGAATTATTTCATGTGTAAATTTAGTATAAATATTTGTGTTTTATCATATTCATATTAAATTATGTATACTAACATATGTATTTTTTTTTGTTCTTTCTGTTTCAGATAGTTTGTAGAATATATAAAACGATATATATTTCAAGATAAATCTATATATATATATATACAACACATATACATAATATATTTTTATTTCGACTATTCTATTAATTATTTATAGTAACGATAGTATTTAAATAAAGTATGTATTTTTGTGTGGAGAATCCGAGAGAGGGAAAAAAAAATCTAAGCGAATGGAGGAAGACGACTTGCTGGAAAATCTCCATGGAGGGTCGAGGCAGATGTATTTCTTATTTCGTGTCGAATTAATAGACTGTATTTAATGTTATGTTCCTTATTTCTTCTGTAAGTTCAATAATATTATAATGTATTAATAAATATATATATATACGAGCTATTGATTTATGGCAAATTAATATCGGACTTATCATTTTTTACCTCAACTTTTCCTTCCAATATCACACACGTAAATCCTCTATTAATTACCTTTTATTGCTAAATTAATCAATTTATATTTAATGAGTGATTAAATTTAATGAAGCAATAAACAGTTTTATTGCTTATTACGTGATAAAAATATAATACAATTTATTTGATTAAATTTTCTAAATAATCCTGTAATTAAAACATTTTTTTATTAAAATTAACTATTTTTCGTATGATGAAGGTGTTGAAAATGAAATAAAGGTAAGTTTTTCTTACAATTGAATTTTAATCTGACAGTTAACTGAATGATCTTTTGTGGGGAAGGCTTGATAACGGTTGAACGAGTTTCATCTAAAGAAGCGGTATTAAACGGTTTCTTGGATCGTATAAAAGCTGAAGAACTATGAGATGAAGTTATCTGTAGGGCGAATGAAATTCTATGGATTTCTCAACCGGATAAATAAACGAATAGAGCAGCGACAAGCAGTGTTAATAATGATATTTTTTAGAATTTAATACAAATTAATTGATTAAATATTGCGTTTTTCTTAATTGTAAATTAGTGTAATTCTATTGTTTTTTAAATGAATACATTGCAAGAGTTATTGATTATACATATTAAAATTACTTATACATTAAACAAATTTAGGTATTAGGTAATATTATTGTTTTCTTTTAAGATTCTTCTCATCATTGTTAATCACTTATAATTAGATTGTTTTTAATAAATAAAGGATTACATGATTACTTTACTTAATGTTAATTATTTAGTACTATATATTTTTTTGATTGGTAAACAAATCAATGTTGAAATTAACTTTAATGCATTCTAGTCTAGACCAGTGGTTGTCAACCTATGGTTAAATGTTTAAAGAGTTGCGAAATGACAGCTGTCACATTGCGTCAAAAGTAAACAATTGGATTACTGTACGACTTTGTTTATTTCGGTCTCATAGCAACAAAGTTGTTGTATTTATTATATTCATATCTAAAGCATGGTTTAACAATGTAAAAATTATTCCAAATACAATCAACACCAACAAATCGGGTCTATATCGCAAGCTCGACAACCGAAAGACCGTCTATTGAAATCCCGACGTTCGAAATCCCGACTATATCAAAATCTCGACAATCATAATCCCGACTGTATCAGAATCTCGACAAACATAATCCCGACTATATCAAAATAGGGATTGCCACCGCAACAAATCCCATATTGAGATTTTTAATAATAGAAGATGTTTAGAGATAATTATAATATGTACATATTCATAGAAGATTATTATTAAATAATGTTATGTAATTCTAAAAAATAAAAATTGAAAATACCCATTAAGAATGTTGATGTGCATTTTGATCTTTACACCTGAATAATGTATCTAATTGTTTCGTTTTTAATATTGTAACAATTCTTTTTCTAACAACATTTTTTTCGTTTGAATTTCAAACTAATTACTTTTGTATCAGATTTTTACAGGTAACCATAAAAAATAAATATTAGTAAATTATAATTAATATGATATAAACGAAATATACTGTCTTAAATGTATGCAAATTAATATTTTAAAATAAAGTGATTTGTAAAGTTATTATATTTCATTTAAATCTATATCTTAGTATTCAACTATATTAAATAAAAACAATTGTAATAAAGTGATTAGTTTTCAAAGAAGTTTGTGACTTAGGTGTATCAGGAAACAAAAATAAAGATTGAAGAACACTGTTTTATACAAATATAAAACTTTTATTGGTGTTTTACAAATGGTTATAGTTTTGTTGCTTTATGTGCATTGAAGAGATTAACAGTCTTCTATTGTATATATTGTTGCCTAACATTGATTGTTAACATTTCCTTCATGTTGAGGGTGTTGCATAGGGTGCGCTTGTCTTCGTAGTTCCGACAGTTGCCTAGAATGGAACGCTTGAATCTCTGGTTGCAGGGGGTAGTTTCCATGGTGTTGCATAACGCTAGGGGTGTTTTTTTTTTGTTCGTTCGCGCCGTGGAGGAATGGAATTTTGGTTCGATGACACTCGGACGTCCAGACAGGCGCCGTGGGTCGCGTCAATATGGCGAGGAGATGTTTTGAAAAATTCGAGTGGCGGCAGGAGAAAGAGAGGAAGCGTCAGCTGATTAGCGTTGACTGTTGATTGGGTCGTCCGAGGGGGGTGCCGGAAGTACCGGAAGATCGTGGCGGGCCGTGGGTACGTGCGTGCGTGCTTTGTTTTGATTGTTTTCTTTTACTTCCATGAACCGACGACCATCATCAACATCATCATCAACCACCACCCGTCCATCCAGGATAACAGAAAGCCGTTAAATATGTGTACGGCATTGCCATGGGTTCCATCGCTTCGGTACTCCAGTGGCAGTGTAAGGAGTGTAACATAATCAACCCGACAGAATCAATCAATTGCATCAGATGTGGCGGCCGCCGTTCATCGCAGCAGGTAAACAAAAATCTGCTGCCATCCTTCGCCGCCGCCACCAACAACGAAGGAGACGACACCTCTGCTGATGCTAGGACTCCGGATTATATTGGTGCCAGTGACAACTGTACGGTCATCAGGAGGATAAGATCTAATCTTCAGACAACTAACAGGTAAGAAACATTCAATTGTTTGTTTCCTTTCAACTTTTGTTTTCATTCTTGGATTGTCTTCTGTTCTGTTTGGGAAACCCATACCTCTAAGATCGATACAACATTCGCAAAACTTTCGTATAGCAACAAATTCGGACTCAGCTTCGAACAAATCCATTCATTAATCCCGCTTTCGTCGTATTGATTTTCCCCCTTTTTTCTTCATGTTCGCACCGTTACATAAATCCCAATGTTTACAAACAAATAATGTTGACATCCGCAAAATTTAACATCTCTGATTGTTACTTACATTCAACATAGAAAATTATATTGATTTTGTGAACATTAATGGCAAAGACCAAAGTTTTAGACATTTGCAATTCGCAACATAAATAAATTAAACACTGAGGAAAAGTATTGATCTTTAATTCGGAATGAGGTAAGAATAATTCATAATTGCTTATTTTCTTTATATTAGATTTCCAAATAAGTTTGTCCAAGAACAATATTTACTCTTAAATAATATTACCTAGTTGGGGTAATTACTTATGTATACACGTAATTAGGTTTAAGCATACATACAAAATTATGTTTCTATAGAAACATCATTTTTATTAAAACAATATTTATCATAACAAATATTATAATTTATTTTGCAATAATTATCAATAATTTAATCGTTACTTTTGAAAAATCACGACCTAATTTGTGTAGTCAATAGTAATAATATTAATCACGATCTATTTCTATTTTTGTCCAAAAACGAAAACTGAAACTAACATTTAAACTGCTTGCAATTTCTTTTCCTTATTTAATGAATCAATTGATTATTATATAAATATTAGTATAAAACTGTTTTTTTTACTTGATTTTAAATGGATTTGAAAATAGGAAAGCAATTTCAGAAATTAAAATTGTTGTTCTTACAAGTTCTTACGTGGGTGAAAATTGATGTTTCTTTTATTGCGTGTTAAATTAGCTCTTCCCGTTAAAGAGGACATAGGGATCGGTCACGAAAAAGAGGAAATATGGACACTTAAGCTATTAAAATAAACGATAGTTGAGATCGTAAAAAGTACAGAAAGCTGATGACATGCTTCTGCGATGTTTCACTACAAGATGAAGTTAAGAAACTATTCGTAGCAGGTAGTTTTAAAACTATATATAAATTTTATACGTTCAATATATCTTTTTATTGCCATGGCTTCTATATACGGATTTTTCATTTACAAATTGGATAAAATTTATAATATTCGAAAATTATATATTTATTAATTTTAATGCGTATTGATTATATATATATTCCAGGTTACTACAGGTTCATTAATTTTGCTTTAATAGTTTAAACTATGATCAATGGCCCTTTGTAATAGTTAATCTTTTGTTTTACTATTATTATTGTTGTGAATGAAAATGTATAATTTTGTTTTTGACTGTTACAGTAAAAATTATTATTAGTTTAAACTATTTAAAATTATTCAAGTTTTCATTTCCACGTTATGAAATTCGAAGACAAAAGAAAATCCAATAGCTGTAAAAATAATTTAAAAATATATTATTTATGTCATCAGTCCTTCTTTCTAAGGTACAATTGCCATGACTAATGACTAATTGTGAGAACATCTTAACAAAAGCTATTTTATATAGTATACAAATTACACGAATATTAGTCATCAATTTTCTTGTACGGAAAATTCTTTGAATTTACAGTTATTGAAATAGTAGTTGAAGTTAATGTCTATTCTTTCTCTGGTTCAACGAATTCGTTCCTTTCATTATAGATCGTTGATAATTTGATTGCCTTCTTAATTTAGAATTCCTTTGTTCCACTCCTTTTATATTCTTCGAAGATGAAATAGCACCCTTTGATAATTGTGCTCTGAATAATTGAAGTGACGCATAATTAATTTACCTTTATTCTTCGCATTCAACTTTACAATACGGATTTCTTTAAAAAATATATTTACTACAAAGAGTATAAGTATTTTCCATCGGAATTAACTAATGACCAAAGTCATTCAGTCGTCTTTATTGTAAATGCATCGTTTGTTTCGAGTTCGAAAAAGATCACCAATTCTTAACTAAGACTATTTTAAGAATTACTATAATATATTTGAAAAACTTTCAAATAATTTAGATAATTTAAATTAAGTTGTTTGCAATTATAAGTGCGTCACGTATGATTGTTAAAGAATGTCTTAACGTGTTTACATCTACATATGACCCTGACTAGGACCGAGCAACCTCTCAGCTCTTCACCAATTGGTATAATCAATTCAGTAGTATTAATGCTGACGCTTGTCTTCAATTGGTATCATTAATTCAATACTACTGTCTCCACTTGCGAAATGGCTTCAATTAACCTAAACGGATATTTTAATTTGCGCTAATGGAAAAACTAAATACAGTCGCCAACTTTAGCAATTTGATTCCATCCAATTTACATAGTTCGTAGTAAAAATAAAGAATTACAACAATACCTCCTATAGTGCGGCTTCGGATTCACTATAGTCCGGTTTTGACAATTTCAAAATAAAGTAAATTTTAAGTGAGCAAAATAAAAAATTAAATTCTAAAAAAATAGTTTCTCGATTAGTCCAGTTTCAAACAGTCCGTGCCTATATTGTTTATTACAAAACGCAACTGCTTCAAAATACATTTATTATATTAGGTTAAACTTTATTTTCATTTATAAGATTGTGACTTTTTTTTTTCATATGGGACAACATCAAAATCCGGGTTAATTTGTAATTCATGTATGTAATCTCCATTACTGCCTTCTAGGCTCGTTTCGCATACGCTTATTTTATTCAGTTGGCAAAATAAATAACTCTAAATAAATAAACAACACGAAAATAAACAACAAAAAAAGTAGAAGTGTGCCATACAAAATGTAATCTATTGATGGAAAAGTAAATTTAGTAGTCAAATCCTAAAATATTCTGCGCCCCTTTGGGGAACGAACTCCATATATCACGGCTAATAGGAAAGACCCTCATAGAACTTTCCATTCCTTATAGCTTATTTATTTTAAGTACGAAAACATCCTATTCTCTTTTTATATTTTGCTGTTATTTTTTTAAAATTACATAAATATTGGCAAAATTTTCCTGTTTTCAAAAACTTATATTACAAGAAAAGTGTAATTGGTTCATATTTCCTTAAGATTTTTTACTATTACGTTCATCTTCCTTCATTGCATCTTATTAGTGTCTACTGTTTCATTCTGCTATTACTATTTCCTTATGTTGTTTTCTTCTTATTTTCTTTAGTGTATTACTAGAAATATATTAACATAAATTGTATTATAAAAGGTGAACGAATATCTTTATGTTTTCATAATACAATTCATATTTGGATTGATGGATATTTCAGGTACGGTTGTTCGTGAAATTAGGACATGTAATGATTGCATTTTCGACGTGTTTTCCACGGAGGGGGGGAAAACCTGATCGAACATAATATAAATATAAAATCGAGCGCACATCGTTCGGTGCGAAATATTGCCATCACTTTAATGCAGTATTCGATTTCAATGTTTGCGAAGCGACTACCAAACATTAAATTGGATTCCATTCGATCGATGTAAAATAGTATCAGATTTCAACTAGATTTTCCTTAAAGACCATAAAAATAACCACCACCATCATCTGATATCGTCAGTACACGTTCTGTCATTAATCTCAGCCAATTTTCAAGTAAAATACTTATTTCTCATTGATTATGTATATCTTCGAAACTCTTCCAAATTGAGTATCCAGTTCAGACAGAAGCTTTATTGACATCATCAATCAAGAATCCTGAATAAAGTGCTCAATTGCCTGTATTAGATGCTTATTAAGACACATTTATGTTTATTTGTAAATAATTAAGATCAATTAGTTTTTTTTGTAGGCATTTTCTATTTGGTGATAACCTGATTATTGAAGCACCGATTGTTTCAATGTTAAATAAGTTGTTTGTTTTATTCCAACTCGAGTTTCTATACAAACATTGACAGCCTTTCATGGATTATATTCCACGGTTCGATTGAGTCTACTATTTAATACAAGTTAATAGGATTTGCACTATCTCATTTCCCCTTTGATAATGTCTAAATAAATATGGTGGTCATGTTAGATAAATGAATGACTTTTTGATATGTATTTAAACTACATTTTTTTTATTATGTCACAGTATATTTAATTTACAATCTTATTCATGCGAACATTACTTAAATGTAATGGCTGTAGACATTTTTGTTTTTTGGTAAACTTCCCAATGGAAGTTTTTATCATTATATTCTTCTGTAATTTGTTGATTGACTGGCGTCTTGTAGGTTAACTTCAGTATATTGATTCCCTTTGTCTGTGTATCTGCTGCTATCCTTAACACTGTCATTGTCCATCGACTTGGCTGAAAGTCCATATGCTGAACCTCTTTCATTTCACTGTCCATTCATGATGAACGATGGGCCCTATTGCTGCAAGCACTGACAGGGTTCATAAAGGGCCTAGCTTAACCATTCGGTTATTAGTTGTCCTCAAACTACATTTAAATACAATTTGTAATCATCCAATATTTATATGCAAGGAATTTTTATTGTAAATTTTTGGACAAGTAACTTGCAAATATGGACATTTCAAAGGCTTTTCCTGAAATATAATGAGACCCTGTGGGATACCTTATGAAATTTTCTCAATATATTATTTTTCTAGTTTTAATAAAAAGTTATAATTTTGATATAATTAGGCAGATCAAAATCAGACTAAGAAAATATTTTAACTAGTAGGGAATTACTTCTATATTCTATATAATTCTTGATTTTTAACAATATAATAATATTTTAACAATATAAATGAAAATCGACCTAAAACTAATTCGAAAGCAATAAAGTGTTCTTTCACAATAAATTATTTTGTATACTACCATTACAGCACGTTATGAAATTGGAAGAATTTTTTTATAAAATTTATATCATAAAGAAGGATTTTTCTACAATTGACATGACTAATTGTGAGAATATCTTAACAAAAGCAATT